TAATCATATGAAATTAGTATTAATAAAAAATTAATTTCTGCTACAAAGGGTGCACAGAAGAACACAAAAGTGGCTTGTAGGGACATTTTCAGACATTTAATGAGGCTCAGAGGTGGCATGAGTGCAATTAAATTCATACATTCATGTGGAGATTAATGTTTTAAATATAAAATTTTGCATACAGAAATATTAAATGATTTAAATGACTGAAATTATACCTAAAAATGAAACTAAATCCGCCAGCAGGTGGCGACAAGTCACTGATTTTTATCACTGAATCATTCATTCAATTGATTCGTTTGAACAGCTGATTCATTCAGGAATGAAACAAGTCTTTATCATGAATCACTGACTCACTAGATTCGTTCAAAAACTCAGTTCATTCATGAATGAAACACCGCTGTGTTTGCTTTTAGACATGCGCAGCGGCTGAGCTGTTACTTTATTTGGAACTATTTTCGTTGATGAAACAGAGCAAAATCAGGCAGTACGTGTTTATTGAACTGTTGTATTAAATCAATATCACATTTGCAAACTCCTTGAATAATTATTAAAAGCTGTCACTCTCCTTATCGCGATCTGTGGGCGCACAGAAAATGAGAGCGCGTGACTCGAAAGCACGTGCAAATGATAAGTTCCGTCATCTGTCATCGTGTTATAAGCGAGGAACCTGCGGGAATGAGTACAATTATTATTAATAGCCACAATCCTGCGCCGAAATTCAAGTCCTGCTCTGTGTTCTCTGCTAATAACCCGACTGTGAATGATGCGAGCGGCGTTATGTTGTCAGTGAGAAGCTGCAGCCGTGGCGGGGGTGGTTTTTGGTGTGCCGGCAGAACAACAACAATGTGCTACGTGTTTCTTTTCCCCTCATTTTTCTTATTGACGGAAATCCGTCGTAGCGACGGAAAACTCTAATCCCTAACCCTAAGCACTTTCAAGGACCTATGTTTGTTTTCAAGTACTTTCCAGGCCTTGAATCCAAATGTCTGAAATGCAAGTACTTTCAAGAAGCGAGGGAACCCTGTTATAATGGCATTTTCAGTCATGTAATCAACTCATTATTTTTAAACAAATGCATAGACAGATAAATAATATATTTATTTAAATGTAATTTACTGGTAAAGTCAGGCATTATAAGGCAGTATTATTTTTGTATCATTGAGATATTGTTATAGTTTTTATTAATTAATAGTTTTAATTAGTTTTTGTTTCAGTTGTAGTGATTTTTAAGTACTTTAAGTTGAACTAAATAAAAATGAGAGATGTTTCCAAGGCAACTAGCCAAAATAAAGTCATTTTAACTTTTTTTTATATATTTAAATTTATTTAACAATGCTTACTTTATTTCAAATAACAAAAATGTAGTTACTTTATTTTAAGGTGTGCTTGTTACAGTGTAATTATGCATTTATGTACTGAGTAATATTAATTAACTACATGTACTTACTATAGGGTTAGG